CTAAGATATGGGGGTGGTATGTTTTTTAAAAAGCTCTAGTGTACTAAAGTCTACATCTCAGTCAGGAGTGAAATAATTGTCCTTTGAGACCTCATGTCCTGCCCTATCAATCTAAGACTAGTGTCATCCCCTCAATTAAACACAATAATGCATTAAGACCAACCATGAATGTTTCTGTTTGCTTTTTAATATTTTCTTTTGTCTAATGTGTGTTCTGCCACTGCACCTAATAGTAAAAAAAGGTCTTTGAGGCAATTTCTGTGAATGCTTTAACTGGCTGCATATCAGCATGGGACCACTAGAGGACGGGCTCCCCCTAGCAACTCTAGCACAGTGGTGGCAAATGCTGCTCAGGCTTCCTGGTGGCAGGGGAGACACCTAAAGACGTAAATGAAGACTGTCAAGGGACATTTCATCTATGGAGTCTAAACATGTACCTGATCCAAAGTTTGTTGGGAATGTAGAAAAACAGCTGTTTGGGCAGGTGGAAAATGAAGAACAGAATAATACTTTCTTCAGACTTTATTACTTAAATAAATCTTTAGATAGGGAATATATTTATTGATTTTAATGACCCCCCCCCTCCCCAGTCCCACCAAAATAGGTGATTAATAGGAAGTAAAGAGGAGTGGTTATTATGAGCATGAATTTGGAAAGAGACAGACTGCCTTGGCACAAAATTTTACTCTGCCACTTACTGGCTTTTTGACCTTGGACAAATTAACCCTTATTTGCCTTGGTTTCCTCATATGCAAAATGAAGATAATAGTTCCTACTTTATAGAGTTATTGTCAGAATAAAATAAGTTAAAAATTTTAAGTGCTTAGAACAAAGCCTGGCATATGGTAAATTCTCTGTTAGTAGTGCATCTACTACTGCTGCTTGGCTGGCTACCCTGATTCTGGCTATTAGGATTGCAATAACATGGTAAGTATAAGGGCAAAATGATGAGGTCCTTTCCTTTTTTTAAAAAAATTAATTTTTATGGGGATATAATTGACTTATAACATTGTAAATGTTTAGGTGTACAAAATGTGATACGTTTATTGCAATAATCGTAGTGTTAGCTAACACTTCTGTCATGTCATGTAATTGTCATTTCTTTTTTGTGGTGAGAGCAACTAAGATCTAATCTCTCAGCAACTTGGAAGTTTGTAATATAATATTGTCTATATAGGCATACCTCATTTTATTGAACTTTGCTTTATTGCACTTTGCAGATACTATGCTTTTTACAAATTGAAGGTTTGTAGCAACACTTCATCGAGGAAATCTATCAGTGCCATTTTTCAATAGCATTTGCTCACTTTGTGTCTCTGTGTCATGTTCTGGTAATTCTCACAATATTTCAAACCTTTTCATCATTATATTTGTTATGGTGATCTGTGATCAGTGATCTTTTTTTTTTTTTTTTGTGGTACGTGGGCCTCTCACTGCTGTGGTCTCTCCCGTTGCAGAGCTGTGCTCTGGACGCACAGGCTCAGTGGCCATGGCTCACGGGCCCAGCCGCTCTGCGGCATGTGGGATCTTCCCGGACCGGGGCATGAACCCATGTCCCCTGCATCAGCAGGCAGACTCTCAACCACTGCGCCACCAGGGACGCCCGTCAGTGATCTTTGATGTTACTACTGTGACTTGCTGCAGGCTCAGATGATGGAAGACATTTTTTAGCAATAAAGTATTTTAAAATTAAGGTATGTATATTGTTTTTCAAGGCATAATACTACTGCACACTTAACAGACTACAGTGTAGTATAGACATAGCTTCTGTACGCCCTGGGAAACCAAAAATTTGTGTGACTTGCTTTATTGCAGTATTTGCTTTATTCTGGTAGTCTAGAACTGGACCTGTGATTTCTCCAAGGTATGCCTATAATGACTGTACTATGCATTAGATCTCCAGAACTTATCTGCTGGTTGAAAGTTTGCAACCTTAAACTGCATTGCCCCAATTCCTTCACCTCCTAGCCTCTGGTAACCACCAGTCTACTCTGTGTTTCTATGAGTTTGGCTTTTTGAGATTCCACATATAAGTGGTATCATAAAATATAGTATTTGTCTTTCTCTGACTTTTCTCACCTAGCATAATAACCTCAAGGTCTCGCCACGTTATTGCAAATGGCAAGATTTCCTTCTTTCTTATGGCCAAATAATATTTTCTTGCATATGTATACCACATCTTCTTTATCCATTCATTGCAAATGGACCCTATGGTTGTTTCCATACCTTGCTATTGTGAATAATGCTGCAATAAACATGGGAGTGCATATATTTCTTCAATATCCTGTTTTCATTTCCTTTGGATGTATACCCGGAAGTGGAATTGCTGGATCATATAGTAGTTCTATTTTTAATCTTTTGAGGAAACTCTGTACTGTTTTCCATAGTGGCTGGACTAGTTTTCATTCCCTCCAAGAGTGTGCTAGGGTTCCCCTTGATCCACATCCTCACCAACACTTGTTATCTCTTCTTGTCTTCTTGGTGATAACCATTCTAATAGATGTGAGATGATATCTCACTGTGGTTTTGATTTGCATTTCCCTGATGATTAGTGATGTTGAGTGCGTTTTCATGGGAATGGGTCCCAAGCATCATTCTTGCCAGCCTGGGCCCCAACCCCAGGACTCAGAACAGTGTGAATTAGAAATGGATTCTTTGTGGTCTTGAGGCACACTGAGTCAGTCAACTGCTTGTGACTCTAAAAAAATGATCTTTTGGCTATTTGTATGTCTTCTTAAGAAAAATGTCTGTTTAGTTCCTCTGCACATTTTAAAAATTGGATTGTTTTTGTTTTGTTATTGAGTTGTATGAGTTCTTTGTGTATTTTGGATATTAACTTCTTATCTTCTTATCAGATATATGGTTTGCAAATATTTTCTCTTATTCCGTAGGTTGTCTTTTCTTTTCTTTTTTTTTTGATTGTGTCTTTTGCTGTGCAGAAGTTTTTTAGTTTTGATGTAGTCCCACTTCCTGATTTTTGCTTTTGTAGCTTGTGCTTTTGGTGTGATATCTAAAAAACTGTGGCTAAGACTGATGTCAAGGAGCTTCCTCCATGTGTTTTCTTTTAGAAATTTTATGGTATCACGTGTTAGTTTAAGTCTTTAATCTATTTTGAGTTAATTTTGGGGAGTGGTCTAAGATAGTGGTCCAATTTTATTTTTCTGCATGTGGTTATCCAGTTCTTGCAACACATAGTTTTGTTGAAAAGACTGTCCTTTCTCATTGAGTGTTCTTGGCTCCCTTGTCAAATATTAGTTGACTGTAAATGCAGTAGTTTATTTCTGCACCTCTATTTAGTTGCATTGGTCTCTGTGTCTCTTTTTCTTTTTTGCGGTATGCGGGCCTCTCACTGTTGTGGCCTCTCCCATTGCGGAGCACAGGATCCGGACGCACAGGCTCAGTGGCCATGGCTTACGGGCCCAGCCACTCCGTGGCATGTGGGATCCTCCCGGACTGGGGCACGAACCCGTGTCCTCTGCACCGGCAGGCGGACTCTCAACCACTGCGCCACCAGGGAAGCCCTATGTGTCTCTTTTTATGCTAGTTTTTTAATGTTTTAATTATGATAGCTTTGTAGTATAATTTGAAATAAGGAAGTGTGATACCTCCGGCTTTGTTCTTTTTTCTCATGATTGCTTTGGTTATTACTTTTTTGTGGTCTTTTGTAGTTCCACACAAATCTTAGGATTATTTTTTCTATGTCTGTGAAAAATGCCATTGGAATTTTGATAGAGGTTGTGTTGAATCTATAGCTGGCTTGAGTAGTATGGACATTTTAGCAATATTAATTCTTCCAATCCATGAACACAGGATATATTTCCCTTTTTTTTTTTTTTTTTTTTTTTTTTTTTTCTTT